AGCAAAAGTAGTAAAGTAATGTACCCAAGTAAAGATTTTAGATCATTTCTGTACTTAAACGTCTTATTACGCAAAACTGACTCCTGTGAGCTTTAAAGGCCGCCACACACTATCGAAAAATTTGCACGATTTTGGCTGCGATTTGCTTTTCCTCGAGTTCAGGAAGGTGTAACCCGACTTAGTGTCTTTGTTTGCCGCCGCGCTCCTTGTGTATGTGGTGTTTTGTCGTATTATAACCAACAAACATCAGGAATTCTACGGAAACAGCCAAAAAACAGTGAGTGACGAGCACAAAGACGCAACATACAAACTCTGGAAATAAAGAAAATAATGAGAAGACTTTGCTGCTAACTTCTCGTAAAGTTGTAGATTTAAAGTGCAGCATCTCATCCATATTATCCGTAGAAATTGTCCAATGCAAATAATGACCCCAGTCCACAAAACTGTGCTTTTAATCCAGTTTGGGTCATTCTTTAAAAGTAAAAAGGCCGGAGTAGTTCCTCACGTGTGTTTGTTTACATCCACACAGCGCACGGATCGAGGTGAAGCTGCAGATTTGTGATAGTGACTCTACTTCCTGTGGACTTTATCTCCAATTTATGCTTTAAAAATCATGTATCTGAAGTTTTGCACCACATTTCACAAATAATATTAACACAGTTTTGACTTGTATCTAAACTAGAAGTGCAGAGCTCTGATGTTTGAACACTTAAGAGTCTTAAAGCGAGTGGTTTTACTGCAGATGCTCACAACTTTATATCCTGTGGTCTGCAGACATATTCCGCTGCAGTCTTTGCGATCGGAGATTTAAAATCTTGTAAGATTCTCCTTGTGTCTGTGGTTTGCGCTTTTTGTCGCATGTTTAAAAATCGTTTAAGACCAAAAAATCCTGTAGTGTGTCACAGCTTTTAGTCATGTTATAATGTTGTTACCTCCTCAAAAACAGACCTGGAGTTGTTTTTTTGTTTCATTCACACATGTTTGAGTACTTTTCCCAAATACTTTTTTACTTTTACTTTAACAACTACTTGGACTATTACTTTGTACTTATACTTAAACAGGGTAATTTTATTTTGAAGTAACTTTACTCCTACTTGAGTGATTTTTTTATTTTTATTTTTGGCTACTCTACCCATCGTTGCTCATATATGACAATACTTACAGTCAGGATCTAACGTCTTATGTTAAAATAAATATTTAAAGGGTCCGTATTACACTATTTTCTGCTCTACTGTACGTTATAATTTTGTTTCCTCATCACAAACAGACCTGGAGTTGTGTTTTGTTTCATTCACACGTTTAACACACAAACCTGCAGATTTAGACTGAGTTCTTCTCCCAAACAGAAAACACTCTCTTCCACCTTTTGATGTCATATGGTAATAAACGAAGTGCTCCATGGTGTTTTTAACTCCATACATCTAAACTAGAATCATTTAGATGATTTCAGCCTTGGAATTTCCAATCTCTACTGAATTAAAAGTAAAAGATACAACTGTTAACCTGAAAACTACCACTACATGACATAAAACCTCCATTTTATCTTCTCTTCACTGGCTGCTTTTGTGTTTTAGAATTGATTTTAAGATTTTACTGATCACTTTTAAAGCTCTTTAAGGTCTCGCACCAAGTTACATTTCAGAACTTTTAACCCCGTACGAGCCTCCCGCCGCCTTAGATCCTCCTTAGGTCCCTGTGGCTGTTCTAGTAAAGTCCAGGCTCTGGACGAAGGTGATCGAGTCTTTTCAGTCCGGGCTCCTCAGCTTTGGAACGACCTGCCTGAGGAGAAAAGACTCACGCCATCTGTATCATCTTTTAAAGCGTATCATCTTTTACTGGTGGTTTTAGCTTGATTTTATTCCTTACTTTTATTCTTTTTTATTAATTTATTATAATTAATTGAATTGATTGCTTCATTGTCTGTTTTATGTACAGCACTTTGTAAATCTTGTTTTTAAAAGTGCTTTATAAATAAATAGTTATTATTATTATTGTTATCACAAGTGTGGAATAGAGCATTTTGAGCTTTGGAGATGAAGATATAGACAGACTAATAATAATCAGTTACTCAAACATGTGTGAATGAAACAAAACACAACTCCAGGTCTGTTTTTAAGGAGGTAACATCATTATACCATGGCTTAAAGAGTCAATTTATCATAATATACGACCTTTAAGCAGTCCACAAATGCTGTTATTTTAAAAGCATAGGCCAAAAATAAATAAAAATAAATAAAATAAAAATTATATCTGAAGGAGCAGAGCAAAAAACATAACTGATAAATGTTACCACAGCGCTTGGTTTATATGTTGGATTTCTTCATTGTATAGTTCAGAATTTTAGATTTTTTTAACTGTTACCGTCATAAAATTACTGAATAATATTACTCAAGTAGCAGTAAAAGTATGTGTAGCTAGAAAAGTACTCTTAAAAGTACTATTTATTAGAAAAGTGACTCAAGTAAATCAATGTAACTACAAGGCTTTGAAATATAGGCACAGGGCTCCATCTAGTGGCGAGAAAAGGAAGCACAAGTCAGTAGTGTAATTTGTCACGTTTTATTTTAATTGCAGTGTTTATACGGATAATATTCCAATTGTGGAATGATTCTGGTACAAATTTAAAAACAGTATTGTCTGATGAAATGTTATGTTGTACTTTTACACTTTGTGGCTGGTCATTATTTTATTGGATCCATATTACGTTATTTTCTGATTTGTTATAATGTTGTTTCCTTATCAAAAACATACCTGGTTTAATACACAAACCATGGATATAGTTTTGTTTTTTTTTTTTTTTTTTAAATAAACACTGGCTTTATGTTTTAATACAGGAAGTGCTCCATTGTGTTTTTAAACTTCATACACCTTCATTAGAATCATGTGGATAATTTCAACTCTGGAAATGCCCATCTCTACTAAACAAAAGGTAAAATGTATTAAACTGTTAACTTTTAAACTACTATGAACTATCACTACATGACATCACAAGGTGGAATTTTGAGCTTTGGAGTTGTACAAACTAATAATAAAGAGTTACTCAGACGTGTGAATGAAACAAAACACAACTCCAGGTTTGTTTTTGAGGAGGTAACAGCATTTTAATGTAATTTAAAGCTCACAAGAGGCAATTTTGTGCAATACTGGAGCTTTAACTAACAAATGAAGAATCCATATCAATATATTTGGATATACATGATGGTACAAATGGCTTAAAATTGGGCTGTCAAACCAAATGTCTGAATTACAAGGAATTTAGGTCCATGTACCATTTGTTCTTTTGAATTTCAATTAAGAACGAACAACAATAAAATGGGAAAACAGGTTATTTCATTATTCTGCTTTAGTGTAAAAAAAAAAACGAAATGATTGACTGATTTTGACCTCTGTTTCCAATATTTAATTTGAAGTTTATTTCAGATAACACCAAGTAAAAAACTGTGAAAAATTGTCTGCAACTTCTTTTATAGCGACGCTTTTACTTTCGCGTCCTAGAAAGTAATTGGTGAACTCCATGACAAGAAACAGAAAGCAACGAGGAGATAAACTTTGTTCACTTGACACCATAGAACTATAATAATATATATATATATAATAATAATAATAATATATATATATATATATATATATATATATATATATATATATATATATATATATATATATATATATATATATATATAATATATATAAAAATGTGTTTCACACCTTCCACGGTGGTAGGTCTCTCTCACCCTCATTGAGCTCGGGTCGTCTACCAGAGGCCTGGGAGCTTGAGAGTTCTGCGCAGTATCTTTGCTGTTCCCAGTACTGCACTTTTCTGGACTGAGATGTCCGTTGTTTTTCCCGGTATCTGTTGTAGCCACTCTTCCAGTTTGGGGGTTACAGCCCCGAGTGTCCGATCACCACAGGCACCACTGATGCCTTTACTTTCCAGGCTCTCTCCAGCTCTTCCTTGAGCCCCTGGTATTTCTCTAGCTTCTCGTGTTCCTTTTTCCTGATATTACCATCGCTTGGTATTGCAATGTCAACCACCACGGCTCTGCTCTGTTTCTTATCCACCACCACTATGTCTGGTTGGTTCGCCATCACCATTCTGTCAGTCTGTATCTGGAAGTCCCACAGGATCTTGGCTCGGTCATTCTCCACAACCTTTGGAGGTGTTTCCCACCTTGATCCTGGGGTTTCCAGCCCGTACTCTGCACAGATGTTTCTGTACACTATGCCCGCCACTTGGTTATGTCGCTCCATGTATGCTTTCCCTATAAATATATATATATATATATATATATATATATATATATATATATATATATATATATATATATATATATATATATATATATATATATATATATTTTTTTTTTTTTTTTTTTTTTTTTTTTCCATGGTTGACACTGTAGCAGAACTTCCGGGGCAAATAAACCAGAATATCAAAATTAAAATAGGTACCAAAATTGTTTTTAACTGGTGTTATTTGATATAAACTTTAAATTAAATATTGGAAAGAGGTCGAAATTTTTATTTATTTTTATTTTTTGGTTTGACACTAAAACGGATTAATGAAATAACCTGTTTTTTTTTCCATTTTATAGATTTTCGTTCTTAATTGAAATTCCAAAAAACGAACTGTTATTTCTTTACTTAAATTCGGTATTTAAAAAAAAAAAGGAAATTGACTTGTGGCAGGCATGTAAGAACAAAAACGTTGATAAAATAAAAAAATAAAATAAAATAAATAAAAATAAATATAAAAGTTTCGGTAACAGAAAGTAACTTCTCGGTCTTAAGTGAAATTCAAAACAATGAACTGTTATATGTTTACTTAAATTTGGTATTAAAAAAAAAAAAAAAAAAAAAAAAGGAAATTGACTTGTGGCAGGCATGTAAGAACAAAAACGTTGATTAAAAAAAAAAAAATTTTTATATAAATATAAACTTTTCGGTAACAGGAAGTAGCCGCGTTTGTTGCTTTTCGCTTTAAGGTAGCGCCGTGGAGGGAGAAACAGCGCCGTGTATCTGTGAGTTCTGTGCATGAATCTGTTAAAATAATCTCACTGTCATGAAGTGCGCTTTGTGCTGAAATGTGAAATATGTGAGCTTCTGACAACAATACAACTCAAATATGCTGCGGAGGAATGATAATTTATTCATGCTAATTAGCGCCGGCGAAGCTAACGGAGTCACGCCGCTGTTCACACGCGGAGATGTTTTTTTTTTTTATTATTATTAATTATTATTTTTTAATTTACTCAATTAGTTTAGAGTCCAGAACATCATTTAAACCCTTTATGCACACAGATTAACTAGTTTGTTTTCACTGAATAAATTTGGAAATGATTTAAAAACGTAATATAAAAGTTCCATGGGACACGTCACTACATTTAAGACCCAATTTCATCAACTTTCATTTACATTTACTGTTTTTTTTTGTTTTGTTTTTTTGTGTGTGTGTGTATTAGAGCTGGCCCACTTTCTATAGGTGGCTATAGAGACTATTTGTTTTTTAAAGTGTTATTATTTTATATTATGCTTTATCTGGGTTCAATGTTTACGCAAAACTATTATTAAACTTTTATTTTAATAAGAAAAGGTTTAAAATTACATACAGGACAGCTGCAGGGTCTTAAAAAGGTCTTAAATGACATTGTCTAAGTCTTTTTTCACAAGGTCTTAAATTTCGTTCTGTTTTTTTTTGGAAAACTCAACCGGGCTGCAGTGCAAAGTTAAACGGAGGGAGGACAAAAAAACAACAATAATACTTTGGTTTATGGCGCCAGCGGCAATGAGTAAAACCATCAGTAAAGTGGAGGAAGACGTTGGATGGATCATGGTGATGTGTTGGTTTAATCCACAGTGGCTCTTAGATTTTAGATAAAGTACTGTAGATGGTTGGTCATTATTAGAATTGGATTTGGTGTTTTTCGCTCGCATAATGGGTGCGATGTTGGTCTTAATTTTCATTTAAGTGGTTTTAAAAAGTCTTAAATTTGCGAAACTCAAACCTGGAGATACTCTATCTTGAAAGAAGACAAAACATGTAGATGTTGAAGAAATTTTTCAATAAATATTTAGTTTGGCCAGCGATTTAGTCCCAGTTTTTAATTTTGGCCTCTGTGATTTAGAGATTGACACTCCTGGATTAGACTGACAAGGTGTTTTTGCATTAGACGCCTGTGTTATATGCAGCTTTTATCATCTCCTGATCCCTACACAGGAAAACACATGGTGCTCATCCATTGTAATGCTCAGTTTGATCATGATTCATTAACATAATTATTCATTATACACTTGAACAGTCCTCTCTGTGTCAGGTTATGGGTTTTAGTGACTGTGTATCTCTCGTTTCAGGCTGTGCCATCATCCGTCCACCCAGAGAAGGAGGCATCCGCTACAGAGGCCTGACCCAGGAGCAGGTGAGCACAGAGCAGAACCCACAACCTGATCCAACATACGCTTCATCTGACAACAGTGAACATCTTCAATTCAAGTCTATCATCTTCTATTTACTGTATTTTCTGGGCTATTAGGCGCTCTGGATTATAAGACGCACTGTCATTAAATGGTCTATTTTCTAACTTTTTTCACAAATAATCCGCACTAGACTTTAAATGAAACACAACAGTGTGATGGGTGAGTGGTTTTGTTTGTTTGTTCGTTCACGGTGACTCTGGGCTTTGTTCAGTTGTGGCGTGTAGGGAGGGTGCTGTCTGGGACCAACGGATTGTCGGCGTGTTCACAGTGACTCAGTTGTTCAGTCGTGTCTAGAAGCGGCACATTGCACTCGCTTTTTTCGGTTCGTTCCTCCGTTCCGTTCCTCGTCGGCGTGGAGTGATGAGTGTGTCTGTGGGTGTTTTTCGCTGTGCGGTCGCTGTCTGCTCCGTGTGTGTTTGTGGCTTTGTAGTTTACTGAAGTCGTGCTGGGACACCCGAGTGGAATTCGTGTATGGGGCGCTCTGGATTGTGGGGCGTGCGGTCATTTTTTGATGCGTTTGGAAACTTAAGAGCGCGTCTAATAGCCCGGAAAATAGGGCAAGTATTTCAAACCAGGCTAACTTTTTACATACCGACTAATGAGGCGGCGACATAGCTTCATTATAGACTGTGAGCGTCGCTTTTATTAAAGCAACAAAAACATTCAGCTCTCCATAAGAGTTACACCCTCTGCATTTTAAGGAGCCACTGGCCACTCTGTAGTTTGAATACAAATAATCATCTGACTAGGGATGGGAATTTGATGAAATTTTCTTAATCGATCGTCGGAAGAATTAACGATCGATTATCGATTAATCATTAACGTTTTTATATTAAAATGATCGTTATTATTACTATTTGCACTACTAATCTGCATGAATAAATTCAACTTTATGACATATAAACCGTAACGACTCTAGAGCCACATCAGCCCGTTTGACATTATAATGTGTTTAATTCAGTTTTGTTCAACTCTCACAGAAACAAAACTTAAAACCGCGCATCGCTAATTTGTATAAACTAAGAGAAGATAAAACTACAGCTCTTGTGTGTCGCTGGTGTGGTTCAACTTCTGTTGGATTAAAAGACATGACTCAGGTGAATACAGGTTAGTGTGACCAGATTTGCGTTTGTGTCAAAACCAGGACACCGTACGGGGGGAGGGGGGGGGACTCGTCATCCACATTGAGCGACTCTCACCTGGAAAAACTTTTTCCCACTGGACACAGAAACATATGTGCTGCTTTATACACTGTGCACATGGACTCACACTTGTCCCGAACACAACAGAAAGCGTAAAATTTCTTGTACAAGTCATCTATAAATACGTATTTGTGCATCGGTACATTGCAGACTGACCAACTGTTTGTGTCTCGCTTCTTCTGATGCAGAGACACATGTACAGACCCCTGTTTGTTCACGCTACACACAGCAACCTACATTCGGTTTGTTGATTAAAATGAACGTTATCGATGAAATTCTTAATGATCAATTATCGATTAATTGACTAATCATGCCCATCCCTACATCTGACTAGTTGAAAAATAAATAGGCTGTATTCACACGTATGTCACAAACCATGAAGACGTTTGGAAACATGCGATGACAACTCCTGGTGTAGTTCCCGACACTGATCGACTTTAATTAAACCCACTGAAGTAAATGTGATCAGTGGTAAAATGAAGACTGCAGACGTATGTGCTGTTTGGAATCATCTTGAATTTGGCGCCTCGTTTCTTCTAATCACACGTGCCCAGTGCGCTCGGAGTTGTGCGTCAATGGGGAAATTATGAAAACTGAGGTGTGGTTGTAATTGTTGATGAGCCGAACATAACGGAACTCTACAATACCGCGAACAGAGCCCGCCGTAGTCTTTCCAAACGTCTTTCTGGTTTGTGAAGTAAGTGTGAATAGAGCCTATTATTGACAAGTGGGCAGCAGTAGCTCAATTGGTAGAGTGTTTGTCCACTGATCTCAAGGTTGGCGGTTCAAATCCCACTCTTGACTAGGGCTGGGTATCATTAAGAAGTTGCCGATACGATACATATCTCAATACAGTGAGCTTTCGGTTCGATACGATATATTTCAAATTGATTCGATACAGTTCAATAAAAATAAAGGCTAAATCATGTCTGTGATACTAAAAGTCTTTGTTAAACCACTTCTTGTGCAAAGTTCATATGAAACACAAACATTTTAATCATCAAAACAGTGAAAATGTCAAATGTGTTGCATAAATGAGTTTCCTTCCACTAAACAAGCAACAAAACTGTAGTGTTGTAACAAAGTAATGCAGTAAAATATACCCAAAAATACTCTTTGGCGATATATCAATACAGCAGTCCCCGATATCGATACTGTATCATCGTATTAAACGATACGATATATCGATATTTCGATATTTTTGCACACCTCTACTCTTGACATAAACATCATTGGTTGAGCGGTCGGATCCACTGACCCACAGGTTGGCTGGTGTGATTCCAGCTCCCACAGATGAATGCTGCCGTTGTGTCCTTGGGCAAGACACTTAACCCACCTTGCCCACAGTGTCTGCGTACACTGGTGTGTGAATGTGTGTGTGAATGTGGTGAGTGGTTCCTTGTTGTAAAGTGCTTTGAGTGTCTTGAAGGTGGAAAAGCGCTATAGAAAAACTGTGACCATTTACCAAGTGAACAACTAGTATTCATTAGTGAGTCAGCCCTAATATACTTACACATTTATGTTATTTGTACTTTATCTTGTTTTATAACTTTTGTGGTTTATTCTGTATAAATAACAGACTCATGTTATTTGAAGTGTAAACTATCTGATCAGCTCAATACTAAAACCTACAGTGGTGCATTATTCACTCTGTGGTCTTGGCTCTGTGTTGTGTCCAGATCCGCAGTGTGCAGGTGCTGCCCGTCGACTATGAGATCGAGTACATCTGCAGAGGAAACCGGGTCATCGTGGGGCCAAAGGTCAGGAAGTGTCTGCCCAACGGGACCTGGACCGACATGAGCCACAAGAGCCAGTGCTGTAAGTGCGACTCAGATTATTGCGCTAATGAATCTACAGCTTCTCTTTGGCTACATTCAGACTGCAGCCTGAAGTCAAATCCGATTTTTTGGCCCCTATGTTCCTGTATCTGGTCTTTTAATGACAGTCTGAACGACACAGATCTGATTTTTTTCAAATGTGACCCAGGACACTTGGATATGTGCTCCTGAAACTGATACATATCTGATCTTTTGACATGTGACTTCAGTCTGAACGGCCAAAGTGCATTCATCCACCTACACGTTATCAACAAGACACAAACGTCACTATTCTGCGCTGAAGTAGGCGACAATTGTTAATGAACTCTGTGTCACTGAAGTGAAGCACATCACCACTCACCACTCTTGGCTCCGTCTCCACATCCACACGTTCCTTTCAACGGACGTCGCTGCCGCTGCCCCACAAAACACCACGACCAAAAACCTCGTCCTTCTCCTTCTCAATCTCCTCCTTAAAACAAGTAAGTTGTTCATGTTCTGGCTCCGGTACGAGAGGAACTTTAAAATCTCCAGGTGCTCGATGCTGCGTCCATGTTTGGACAACTTCCGTAAACACAGAGACGCTCGCTGCGGTTGACGTCGTCGTGTCTCCAGTGTCACATGTGGGACACTTTTGGGACGTTTAATGTTCACACTGGAGTCACATACAAGTCACATTTAATTGGAAATGTGAACGAACCTCGCAAAAACAACGGATTTCACAAAAAAATCTGAATGGAGCGTTAAGCCCTGCAGTCTGAACGTAGCCTTTGTCATGTCAGACCAGACCTGTCTAACGTGTCTTTACCTGTAGCTCCTCATCTGTCCACATTTTGCTCAAGCCGTCATCACAGAAGTTTGTTTACTTAAGATGAGAGAGGATAGATAGAGTACAGATAACTGAAAAAACAGACACGCACAGTCAGCGCGGTTCACAAAACGATTATAAAGTCCGTACAGAAAATAAAATAAAACTAAGGGGCGTGTAGAAGTGGGACGAGATGAGACACACCACGAGATGAGGTCCACAAGATGAGATTTTGACATAGTTTGTAATAAATGAGTAGTGCAACCATTTCACGATTTTGGCTTCACTGTTTTTTATTTATTTTAGTGGTCATTGTAGTACTGCTTTTTGGAACTACAGCTACTCAAATGATGTAACTCACCAGCTCTCCAACTCCTTTTTTTGTCCAAGTTAAAGGTCTGCCGAGTTTAAATCCAATGTGATAACACGACATGTAACACGCCTCCAGGACAAAGCTCCACAAGGAAGAATGTTTGTTTCAATTTAATCCAGTCCACTTTATTTCACAAACAGTTTCCAAAGTGCTGCACGAATACACAATAATAACAGCAATAATAAAATGATAAAATAAACTACTAAAATAATCATACTAGGACTTAAAATAATAAAACCAGAAAAATAAAATAAGAGCAAAATCATAGAATAGCAATAAATAAATAAATAAATAAAACCAGCAAAATACATTAGAAATAAATAAAATAAATAAAAGACACAGAGGACCACACAACTCACGCCTGAGAATAAAAGTGGGTCTTAAGATGAGACTCTACACCCACTAGACCGGGACTAGACCGGGACTAAACCGGGACTAAACAAGGACTAGACCGGGACTAAACAAGGACTAGACCGGGACTAAACAAGGACTAGACCGGGACTAAACAAGGACTAGACCGGGACTAAACAAGGACTAGACCGGGACTAAACAAGGACTAGACCGGGACTAAACAAGGACTAGACCGGGACTAAACAAGGACTAGACCGGGACTAAACAGGGACTAAATCGGGACTAGACCGGGACTAAACAGGGACTAAACAGGGACTAGACTGGGACTAAACAAGGACTAGACCGGGACTAAACAGGGACTAGACCGGGACTAAACAGGGACTAAATCGGGACTAGACCGGGACTAAACAGGGACTAAAATCGGGACTAGACCGGGACTAAACAGGGACTAGACCGGGACTAAACAGGGACTAAATCGGGACTAGACCGGGACTAAACAGGGACTAAATCGGGACTAAACAGGGACTAAACAGGGACTAGACCGGGACTAGACCGGGACTAAACAAGGACTAGACCGGGACTAAAGAAGGTCTAGACCGGGACTAAACAGGGACTAAACCGGGACTAGACCGGAACTAGACCGGAACTAGACCGGGATTAAACAGGGACTAGACCGGGACTAGACCGGGACTAGACTGGAACTAGATCGGAATTAGACTGGGACTAAACAGGGACTAGACCGGGACTAGACCGGAACTAGACCGGGACTAGACAGGGACTAAACAGGGACTGGACCAGTGCCAGTAGCAGAGTGTACATATATTTACGCTGTAGTCATCGACCCGATCGCCTACGCTGATGGTTTTATGTCATAAAAACACAAAAACAACTCTCTCTCAGTCTGGTCTGCCATTGTTTGGGGAAAAGACCGGGACCGGGCACTTGTTTCCAGGGCAACGGACGCGCGTCAAGTATTTTTCTCCTGTTCGTCCACGGTGTCCAAGATGCGCGTCGGGGCGTCTAAACTCAAATGCAAAGGCGTCCAAATAGAGACGTCTAGGGCGTTTTTTTTGACGCTCTGGTGTGAACGCACATTAAGTCTTACAAACATAACTTTTAGGCACTTTGAGGATTTAAACATTTTCAAAAAGTTTATGTTGTGAAAATAGAAAAGAATCCCTACAAAATCCGACCATTGTGAAAGTCGTCGATGCTCTGTCAGCTGAACACGGGCAGGTTCCCAAAAAATGCATTGTGCTCCTGAGAATAAAAGTGGGTCTTAAGACGAGACTTAAAGCTCTCCACTGTGGGGGCTTGTTCAGACGTGAGGGGCAGAATGTTCCAGAGTTTGAGGCCGACCACAGAGAAGGTCCTGTCCCCCCTGGAGCTGGACCTCGGACCTCGGACCTCAGAGCGCACACGGGGGTATAAATTTGGATGAGATTTGTCAAATAAAAAAGGAACAAGGGCACAAATGTTACTATTTCATGTCAGGAGGCAAAGGCTCATAATTATCATTTGAAATCAGAAATAGTCACAAAAATTAACTTTATTTGTTACCCAGCTATTCCTGGGACCATAGCAAGTTTGGTCTGCACCTGTTGCCCTGGGAAATGTATATTTTCTATGAATTTATTATTGATTTATTATAAGCCATTGCAGTATCAAAAAAATTAGTATAAAGTAAAAGAAACATTACTACAAACAAAATAATAAACTAAAGCATAATGCAAAACAATGCTTCACACATTTTGCGCAACCTCTTGTATATAACTAAGATATATTTGTATGACTATATTTTTTATTTTTACTTGTACATATACATCATTATTTTAAATGTATTATTACACTTTTTTCGTATTTTTGTTATTATATCTATTGTGATGTGTGATCTACTTTGTCCAAATAATTTAACTTATTAATCAATAATGTTTGTCTATGAGTAAAAAATAAAATTCTGGTTAGTTTTAGTAAAATGGCTTCCCACCAACAAACTGTGCACAAAGTTTGAGGATCAATCAAAACAATTCTTCGATCAGAGAGTAAAGACGGACACAGGAATAGTTTTGTGGAGCTTTAATGTCCTTTCATCTGGTAATCTATAACAACATTTGAATCATATCACGAACTGAAATGACACACACATAAATCAGCTTATGAATAACAGTTAAACATTTTAAACATCGACAATCATCCAAAATATGTAAAATAATAAAGTTAATAAAGTAAATTAGCTTCAGAACATTTACACAACAATTAAAGAACGATTACATAAACAAACTTATTTCCAAACCCACCTCTATCACAAACGCAGACGTAGATAAGCAGATAACATAGAACTGTGGTAAAGTCTGAAGGTGAAACCAAAATGGCGTTGTATAGTTTTAAGTGAACATGCACGGCGTGACTAGACCAGGACTGAATCAGTGTCATGAGCGGAGTATAAATATATGTATATAAATATAAAATATATAAATATATATATATATATATATATATATATATATAGATATATATATATATATATATATAGAGACCTACCACCGTGGAAGGTGAGAAACACATTTTTTTTTTTTTTTTTTATATATATATATATATATATATATATATATATAATTTATATCTATCCGGGACCGGGCACTTGTTTCCAGAGCAAAGGACGTGCGTCAAGTATTTTTCTCCTGTATTTTCCCCTGTGCGTCGGGGCATCTAAACTCAAATGCAAAGGCGTCCAAATAGAGGCGTCTAGGAGGTTTTTTGATGCTCTGGTGTGAACGCACATTAAGTCTCACAAAGATAACTTTTAGGCACTTTGAGGATTTAAACATTTTTTTAAAGTTTATGTTGTGAAAATAGGAAAGAATCCCTACAAAACTGGACAATTGTGAAAGTTTTCGATGCCCTGTCCGCTGAACACGGGCAGTTCCCAAAAATGCATTGTGCTTCTATGGGAAAATTCTTTCTGGGCCCAAGCTCCCAGGAGCTGCAGTACCTGGAGCGGCCACTAGTCGGTCTCTGAATGCCTTATCCAGTTTTTATTATAGATCCATGGTAGGTAAATATGCTGAAGTAACAGTCTGTAGCAGGAACAGTGTTACTATTGTCCCCCCAAGGACCCCTGAGCTGCCTAAGATTGCCTGAACTGAAATAAACAGATACAGAACTAAGTTATCTGGGCCAAATTTACAACATCTAACCTAGATTTACCTAGATAACATTAACGTCTGTCACAGATGTTTTGAATAAATATGCAAATCTAGGGAGGAAATACAAATGAAGGTTTTAACTGGTGCTGTCTGTTTTGTCAATGTATTGTATCCGTAAATGTATCTATTTGCATGGAGACAAGCTCACAATGTCTCCAGGCCAAGTTACAGGTCAGATCTGTGGAGAGGTAAACTCACTCATTGTAGGAACGCATGTATTTTTGAGCAGTAAAACACTTGTAATTGACCACACAGATGAGTTT